AAAGGTGGAGAAGTTTTTTTGTTTCCCCGTTTGGGTGGTTAAGTTTTGTTGAAAATAAAAATTTTAATAAAAAAAAATTAGGAGTCCCTGTTTTCAAGGGATTATAAGCATATTCAAACAGATCTCTTCAATGCAAGGTTGTGACTCCTTTTGTTACCTGTCAATAGGTATGAGAAAATGGGCTGGAGGGGGTGGTGGTTCTCAGGGCACGCACTGCCATAAACATGGTGTAGCTCTTGAGTTCAACACACATTGTTTAATAGAAGGGGCTCAGCGCACACCCTCTCTGCTAGATCTTGGCAGTGGGAGGAGGAAGGAGGTGGTCAGCAAAAATAGTGGAAGAGCAGCTGTTCGGAATCCTGCAAATACATTGTGATGGGTGCACTGTAGTAGTGATCAAAAAACATGCAGAAACAAAAGCTTCCTGCAGAGTTGCATCAGTTCCCATCCACAAAGTTTAGGAAGGTTGTATGGAACATGCCCCCCACCCCTTTCTGCTTTTTTTTAAAAAGTCCTTTGCTTTGGCTAAAAAATGAAAGCACTCTTGATTCTTTTTGAAATGAAGAAACGTACGCATTTTAGTCTTGGAATCCAATAGATGGAGGTTTAGAGGATAGGGAAAAAAAATCTAATAAAGTTGTGGATATTAAAAACTACAGATAGAACTCCCCAGACTTGAATTATTAATAGTTAGTATTTTAAACACATTTCGACTAAACAAAGAAACTTCATTTTCTTGCAAAAGAAATAAATACTGTAGGCTCCATCCAACATACTATCTCTTTAAAAGGTACAAAAGATGACTGAGAAGTGTAAAAACAGGAGATGAAGATTGTGAGATAATGTAGAAGTTGGACAATCATCAATTTTATCTTTAAAGTATGGTTCTTTATATACCATTTGAATTTTTATGCTTTCTTGGACTTTAATGGGTATATTTTTGAATGTTCAATAATCAAGTAGAGGCGTCAAAGCCCTGGAAATGAACCATTAAAAAAATTAGGATTTGCATCATTTTTTTAATTGCCTGAATACAAGTTAAATACACAGTAGAAATGCAAAGAAACCACTAGGTTGCGCTGCTTCATTGGTCGAGTCAAAAGACAGAGGGACCGATTGCACAAAGACTGTTTTGAAAGAATGTAAATACTGAACTGGAAATTCTAGTTTTTGAACGTGTGCTTCAGCCCATTTTCTTTCTGATTTTAAAGCTGTCTCAGATTTTTCGGAGGTATATTAAAATGTAGTTTCTTTAAATTGAGCAGATTAAAAAGACAAACCACACTTGTGGGGATTTGAACTGCTAGGAACTAGTAGATGAATACAAATCACAAGATTATGAAGGAACCACTAGGCTAAACGAGCTCAAGAAGCACTTCCTGTTCAGAAGAGATATGAGCTGACTCAACAAAGTTCATACATACAATAGTGTAAAGAAGCAAAGATTTCACAAATGATTTAAAAGCTGGACCAGAAAATTTATTTTAGTGTATGCTCCAGCACTGCTCCATCCTGATTTTTATTCTCTTTAGTTTTAGAAGGAATTTTCAAAAATGTGTTAGAATCAAAAAGCCAGGCAGCGCCCGCAGGACTCGAAC